CTGAAGGCGTTGGGTATGCCAGTTAAGTTCATCAACTGGATTTCACTCTTCGTCACTACAGCATCATTTCATGTCCAAGTCAACGGAGAGCTTGCAGGCTACTTTCAGAGCAGACGAGGGTTAAGGCAGGGATGTGCTCTCTCTCCTTACCTTTTTGTGATCTGTATGAACGTGTTGTCTTAAATGTTAGATAAAGCGACACGATGTGGGAGGGTTGGGTATCATCCAAGATGCAAGAGCATTGAGCTTACCCACTTGTGTTTTGCGGATGATTTCTCAAGGTCTTTGAAGACTTCGATAGGATGAGTGGTCTGAAGATCAGTAGAGAGAAATCAGTGTTGTTTGTTGCGGGGGCAGATCAAAGAGGGGAGGAGATTCTGAGAGAATTTAATTTTGCTATGGGGAAGTTACCAGTGCGTTATCTCGGGTTACCTTTGCTAACGAAGAACATGACTGTCACTGATTTTTTGCCATTGGTTGAGAAGATAAGAAAGAAAATGAGCTCGTGGACAGGGAGGTTTCTCTCTTTTGCAGGAAAACTACAGCTGATAAATTCTGTTATAAGAAGTCTTACAAACTTCTGGATGGCAGCATTTAGGCTTCCTAGTGGATGCATTAGAGAAATTGAGAGAATTTGTTCTGCGTTTCTTTGGTCTGGCCCTGAGTTGAATGCAAGAAAGGCAAAAATCTCGTGGGAGGATATTTGTAAAACTAAGCAGGAAGGAGGCTTGGGATTAAGACCTTTGAAGGAAGTAAATCAGGTATGTTGCCTTAAGCTTATCTGGCGAATTCTTTCTGCAAATTCACTCTGGGTTAACTGGATTAAAATTTACCTTATCCGGAAGGGATCTCTTTGGACGGTTAAGGAAGCTACTCAGGGGGGGTCTTGGATGTGGAGAAAAATTCTTAAACATAGAGAGAGAGCAAAGGAATTCTATAGAGTTGAGGTTCAGGATGGGAAAAGTACTTCTTTTTGGCATGAGAAATGGAGCTCTTTGGGTTGTTTAATTGATGTAGTCAGGGATGGTGGTTGCATTGACATGGGGATTGCTATTAGTGAGACTGTGGCTGACTGTTTGCGTCACAGACGGAGGCATCATCGCGTGCAGATTTTTAATAGTATCGAGATGGAGATAGAAAGGTTTAAGGAAAGCTGGGTTCATGAGGATGATATATCTTTATGGAGGAACATGAATGGCAAATACAAAAAAGCTTTTTCAACAAAGGAAACTTGGCTCTGCATTAGAGAGAAGCATCTCCTTTGTCATTGGTATCAAGCTGTTTGGTTTAAACATGCGACGCCGAAATACTCTTTTATCACTTGGTTGGCTATGCGTGGGAGGTTATCAACGGGTGAGAGGATGCTGAAATGGAGTGGTAATGTCGATGCTTCCTGTATTTTTTGCCAGGTACCGCTGGAGACTCAATACCATTTATTTTTTGAGTGCCCTTACTCAGCTCAAATCTGGGAGGCCCTCATGAAAGGTGTTCTTAAAAATCAGTATACTGCAAATTGGGATACATTGATTAGACTCATCACTAGAGGGTTAGGTTGGTGCAAAACTCAACTCTTCATTGCTAGATATATGTTTCAGTCTGCTATTCATACTATATGGAGAGAGCGAAACAGAAGGAAGCATGGTGAAGATCCTATTCTTGCTGAGATTCTGATTAAAAGACTAGATAAGAATATGAGGAATCAGTTCAGTGTGATAAAAAGGAGGGGAGGAAAGGAATATGAAGATGGTATGGCTACTTGGTTCAGTACTAGATAGTTTCTCTGTTTCTCGGCTTGGCAGGGAAATTGTTGTGAGGTTTTGAGTTCAGTCTTCCAGTAGGAGTGAGTGCTGGATGCCTAGTAGGAGTGAGGGCTAGATATATAATGTGATGGTTGTTGATAATGAGGAGGTAGGCTGTTGATTATAAGGAGATTAAAAAGATGTTTTCAAAGAGGTAAGGGGAGACCCAGTAGGAGTGAGAGTTGGGTGGCTAGTAGGAGTGAGAGCTGGTCAGATTTGAGTTTGGATGATAGCTGATGATGAGGGGGTCGCAAAGTTGAAGTAGGGAAAGAAGCTTTGTTTTAAGATTGAGATGTTTTTTCTTGTTTAGGAAATCATAAAGGGTCACATTTTGTTGTAATAAGGATATTTTCTTTTTGGATTAAATTTAACATTCAATTCAAAAAAAAAAATATTATTATCATTCTGCTTGAAAAAAAAATGAAGTTTAATTTTCGATACGATATTTCAACTGACACTATGTATGTAAAAGTAATTGATTACGTTATTGCAAACCATATGTAAAACTGAAGAAATACCTGTTTTTCTAAAAGACCTTGATGAGGCCTATAAAGAATTATTCTTTGTAGAAATTAGAGGGCATATAAACTTTTCTTACTTATATCTTCTAAAAGGTAGATACTAAAATGATATGACCTATAGATAGAAATTGAAGATAAAAAAGGAGTGATATAGATTTATATGAACCTACAATTCTTAAGAATATTAGATATCTTAAATCATCATGTACGGAAAAACACATGAGCTTAATCTCAACACAGATTCTTTTTTTTTCCAACCTCTTAGAACTACTGATGAGTAAATCATGTCTTCATCTTCTTTTTTTGGGGGGTGATTCTTTTGCGGCTGTGTATATTAAGGCGCTGAGATTCTTTTCTTTGAAGAATGCTTGCCAACTAAGGAATAGTTAAATCAGTGGCCAGTAGCTTTTTGGTCACCGGATTTTGCGAGCTACCGAATATGTATAAAATAACAAACAAAAACACTACTCATGAATCTTCTCCAATGCTATTTCTGGGCCTGAAATAACAAAAATCTGGACTATTAAATATACTTAAAAGACAGCTGAAGAAGGATCAGACACAAACCCAAAAGAGCAAAGCTTAGAAATAAACCTTCTTTAGATACTTCTTGTGAAGTTTCATTGTAACAGAGCATGCTTTCTTAGAACTCCGGTTATGTCGTTTAAGATCTGAGCAAAAGCGAACAGATTATTGAGGTGCTTAAGAGAAAAAAAAAAACACAGATCTCACGTCATTACCTTGACAACATCATCGAGTCCTCGAGCTTCAGTCATAAGCTTAGAACTCTTGTCTTTCAAAACACTAGCCACTAAGAAAACCGATATAGGCAAAGGACCTTCTGCATTGGCTTTTCCATCGTTCTTCATGTTCTCTCTCTTGTACTTGCCACATTGTTTTATCAGTTTTGGTTTACCTTTTGAGGAACCTTCCGTTTTCTCGCCCTCGAACTCAAGCTCCTCGTACAGAGAATACATCTCCGGGTCATACTCTAAAGCCCACATCATCTGCTCAAATGGAAAACATAAGTGTCCTATCCAAGAAACATATCTCTGAGTTTATAAAGAGAGACGTTACCTCCCAAAGGTACAAGGAGTCGCAAAAAGAGAACTCTCTTGTGAACTGAACCATAATCATCTGAATCCCAAAGATTTAGTCACCTCCGCCAAGATTCTCTGCATTTCAAGATACAAATGATGATTATATATATGCTAAAAGTGAAGTGAGAAAGCTTTGGTAGATGATACCTAAGTGATGGTGAAGTTTGGGTCTATAATCTGAGTGATTTTAGCCAAATGAGTAAGCTGTGCTTCAACTCCACCTGATCTTCCCATGCTCCGAAAGTTACCTCGCTTTCATTTTCCGAAGAAACTTTTTAATATTTAACTCATTACAATCATATATGAACACACCAAAACAATACCAATCGGCGCATCAGTCTTTCAAAACACCAAAAAGCATTAGCTTCGTCTTCAAGAAGCATAATCATCCAATTGTTAAAAAAATGACATAAGTGAAGGTAATAAATAGTTACAGTTCCATGTTGAGATATCAGCTCTTGCAATCACATATGTCTAATATCTTCTAGTTCAGGATCAGCCTACACAAAGTAAAAAGGGAAAAAAATAATATTTGGCAAAAATATCGCAAAAATTCTAACTTTCAAATAAGAATTATTTTTGGCTTAATATTTGGTACAGTGCTTTGATTCCTGAAAACTAATCTATCATCTCAAACAGAAGATCAAGCCACGTTGATCCAGTTTTGAAGCTGATGGTGCTGCTTTTGTGGCCAAGTATGAATCGGAGCTGAGAGAGAACACGATGCTAGGAAGAGAAGAGAAGTCTTCATTAACGGTGTCGGGATTCACGCGGAGGAGGGATACACTTTGGTTGCGTCGGTAATAGTACCACTCTTACCGAGAAAAAGAGGTTTACTACCCAAACGTTTTGTAAAGAAAGATGAAAGAGAAAGGAAAACAATTCGTTTAAGCTTTTCATGGTTACAATTGAAGTCAACATTGTTTCAATGCTTAACCTTTATGAGCTGAATTAGAGGAACCAATTTATATATAAGGAGAAAGTGAGGGAGGCTAAGCGTATACATAATGAAGGGAGTAAAGAAGAGAATTGATTGATTAGAACTGGCTGGTGGTAACGGTGTTTGCGTGATCTTCAATCGGAGAAGACGAAGTGTTGGAGAATACGACAGATTCATCTTTCGTAAGTTTGGGTTTCTAGAAGGAGATCTATTTGGGCCATAAAAAAATAATTTAAGTCCATACGATAAAGCCTATCTGACGTGTCTAGATGCAGTCATCTTATTGGTTAAATATAGTTGAGGACGTGGCACCCTTATTGAGCTTGTTATTCTCCTTTTAATAGTGTTTGATTATCACAAAATAAAAAAAAATTGCAACATGTTAAAATCTGCACATCTGAACCGGTATTTTAGGTTAATTTTGGTTTGAGTTTCAGGTCAGATAAGAATCAGATACGACCTAGTGGATGTCGATCAATAATACCCAATCATTTCGTGTTCAGCAATGTCCAGAATATTTACCAATCCATTTGGGCCTTAAACTGGGCCTTAAAACCCAAAAAGCTAAACAATAAAAGGTGTAATTGATTAAACAAAACTAATACCATAAAGAGAAGACATATTCACTTTTTCCCCTTTCCACTGAAGAAACTAATCAAATCCCTCTCTCTCACCAAAGTCTTCACTGTAAAAAAAAAAATGATGAGCGGCGGAGGTAACGGAGGAGGAGGCAACGGAGGAGACCCAGAACAGTGGCTAATCACAGCGCAGAAGCTCCTCTTATCCGGCGACCTAAACGGCTCCAAAACCTACGCGATCCGCGCATGCGAAGCCGATCACTCCCTCGTAGATCCCGCGGAGCTCATCCTCGCCGTCGCCGACACTCTAATCGCCGGCGAATCTCGCATCCGCGCCGATCTCCCCGACTGGTACGCCGTCCTCCGCCTCGTCCGCCTCACTCACAACCCCGAGCTCGTCGCCACTCAGTACAGCAGGCTCGCCGTCCTCCTCAACCCCAGCCGCAACCGTTTCCCTTACTCCGATCAAGCCTTCCGCCTCGTCTCCGACGCGTGGTACGTTCTCTCGGATCCTTCGAGGAAGGCATTGTACGATAGGGAGGTTCATTTGAGTCAGTTTGGGCAGTTAGGTCAGTTAGGGTTTCAGTTGTTGAATCAGCCGCCGCCTCCTGAGTCTTCTCCTCAGCAGCAGCAACAGGAAGAGTCTCCTCAGCATCAAACGGTGTCGTATCAGAACCAGTTACCGTTTCAGCTTCACCAGCATTTTGGTCAGCCTCAGGAGCAGAGGGCACAGTTTAGTAGTAATAACCAGCAGGTGATGCAGCAACAGTTTGGTCAGGAGCAAGGGGAGATGATTAGGAGTGGTGGTTCGAGTAGTAGTAGTGGTAGAGACTGGAGACTTCCTGTGGAGGAAGAAAGGTCTATTAACTTGAATAATGCGACGGAGAGAGTGCAGCCTAGTCGTCGTTTTCATGATCAAGAACGGTCTTCTAGTGGTAGGTCTTATGAGGAGGCGTCGTCTCAGAGGGCGCCTAATCCTCCTTCGACTGATCTCACATGGGCGTCTAAGCCTACTCCAACGTCTGAGCCTATAGCTTTGCAACATGCTAGTCAGTTTCAGGCGCCTAGGTCTAATCAAGCTGCTCAACTCTCGTTGCTGTCTTTGGTTTCTGATCAACCTTCTGTATCTCAGCAGAACCGTGCGGCTCAGACACAGACACAGACACATTCGGTCTCGAAACCACAGCCTGTCTCTAAGTTATTCCCAATGTCTCAGCCATCTTCTAACCCTCTTGCAGGGACGGGTCTTCGTGAGGTAAAAAAGAAACCTTTAGTAATACTATGTAGACGTTTTTTCATGTGTATGAATTAAAGCATTGTTTTTAATGTATGTATCTCTAGGCACCGAGGCCTTTTGCTGTGTCAAAGCAACCAACTGCCTCTAAGCCCTTCTCTGGGTCACAGTCATCACAAAAGTCTAAGCCTTTTGCCACGTCTCAGCCACCAACGACATCTAAGCCATCTGGGGTGTCTCAACGATCATTGAACTCTAACCCATTTCCGGTGTCTGAGCCGCCGCGGACCTCTAACCCATTTCCAGTTTCACAGCCAACACCAAACACTAAGGCATCGCTTGTATCTCAGCCACCGCAGACATCATCTAACCCATTTCGGGTATCTCAGCAACCACCGAGTTCTAGGCCAGTCCCAGTATCTCAGCCTCAGCAACCACCGTCATCATCTAACCCATTTCTGGTATCTCAGCCAACCACAGCTTCTAAACCATTGCCGGGATCTCAGCAGCCTACAGTTTCTAAGCCAATGCAGGTGACGCAGCCATCACAACAGGCATTTCAATCAACCAGTCACTCGCAGCCACCTGAAGCCTCTGGTGGTCCCTCTCCGCAGCCTCATATCTTCAATTCAGCTCAGTCATTCCAGCCACAACCGGTCTCTATTACTCCACCTCCAGTTCCAGCTGTCTCAACTACTCCCTCTCAGGTTCCAGTGGGCTCTACTAATCCATCTCCTCCTCAGCCAACGGGGGTCACTAACCAAACCCAACATAATGAACAGACTCCGAGTTCAGATTCTAACCAGAAGGTTGCAAGTTTCTGGACAACATGTCCATACTGCTTCGTGCTTTTCGAGTATCCCAACATGTACGAGGAAAGCGTGCTTAAATGTCAAACTAAGAGCTGCAGGAGAGCTTTCCAGGCGGTGAAAGTTCCATCTCCACCACCGGTTGCTGAAGAAGATAGTTACTATTGCTGTTGGGGTTTCTATCCAATAGGATTCGCAGAGACGGCTAAGGCCCCAGTCCATGATTTACCAAGAGGATTCCCAGTCCATGATTTACACAACAGATCAGGATTCCCAGTCCCAGTCTATAATATACCCAGAACAGTACCGAAAAAGGCCGCTCGAAAGGTATATTATAATGAAGACGAAGAAGATGATGAATACATAGATTCTGATCCTAGTGAGGATGATGATGATGATGATGACTGGCATGTGAGTGGAATAAAAAAAAGGAAGAATGTGAAGCAGAGTAAGCAGAAAGCATCAACAAGACCTCGGAAAGTAATCGTAGTTGATTGAATCAAATGGTTTCTGAATGGAGAAGTAAGGCTCCTCTCTCTCTGTTTCTTCATTTTCTGGCCATGTTGTTGTTGTAGTAGTAGTGTTTAGCGTAATATTTACTTGCTTCCGAAGCTTTTTTGTATCTTAATGTTCTGTTTGGTCGCGGCTGGATTGGTCTTTGGACCTATTCAGGGTTAAGTTTGGAAGCAACGGTGCAGTAGTTTGTAATGTTTTGGTTGTCTCTCTTTTTGGATTAAAGTAGTTTTGGCTGTAGTATTGTTGGCGTAAGATTTCGTATTCTATTTTATATGTTCTCTTAGGTCACAGCTAGATCGGTCTTAACCGGTTCTGAGTTGAGTGTAGAAGCGCAATGGTGTCGTAGTTTGTGATGTGTAAGAATATCAAAAATGGACATACTGGTTGAGATAGTGCTCTGAGAGCGTCCAGAATGAGAATAGTAACGTTGACAAGTGAGTCGGTTATTGACAAGGATGTGTTTGTGTGTTTGGTCAAGTTGTAATTAGGAAGAGCAAATATTTTTGTATATTTGTTGATTTTGTGGAGTAGCTAAGAGAGATAGAGATATTTATTCAACCGTCTGAGTGCAGCAGATGGTCTCGATACGAAGAGAAGTTGGACGTTCCCGATATATATATATCTGAAATCAGCCTTTCGAAATTCCGATTTAAAGAATAATCCTTCGTATTAGAGGTAGTTTGAACCCAGGGAACCAATCCCCTTTACCACTAGGCCTACTAACACCTTGGTTGTTCCAAGTTTTGGTTGAGACATTGTGAACACAACCAAGGGGATTCTTAATTTGTCTTGAGCTTCTTCTTATAAACGCACATGTATGGGTTCATTGTTTACAACTCCATTATTTTAGCTTCTTCATAAAGCTCTTGTTCTTACTAATTAAGTGTTCTTCATCAAAAGGTTTAATGCCTGAAAGCCTTAGTACATTCATTACCTCCACACATTTCCCTCCACCCACCACTATTTTATACAATCCCTTCCACTCTTTGGAAAATTTTAAGTACCAGTGACTAACTAAGCATATATTTTCTCTTTTCGAAATAGAATACAAGAAAGAAAAAAAAGTAGAATATAAGAAAAATTAAGTGTAACCCAACTGCCAATGGCTTATGTGTTAAGAAAAATGGACACTGCTCCTTTTAAAATTAGGTATTTGATTATAGTAGATCAATACTCTTTACGATTTTTTGAATATTCTTCAATTTGTAGTTTTAATGAATTGTTAAATAATTCTATTAGGTTTTTAATTTAATACCATCTCATTCGTTACTTACATGCATTGATTTATTTTTCTGTAAACATTTCCAACTTTGAAAAATTGTTATATACCATCTAACCTAGATAACTTCATTTGTTGAACGCAAATACAGTTGATCACAAATATATAAATGATCAGATCTAACATAGAGAAACCATAGTGTCTTTGTTTGCTTATGCCAAAGACTCTTCAGATCCTTAAAGTGATAGCCAACGTCGAGACACTCCAACGACACATCTAAGATGAGGTACAAATTCCATCCCGCCCATTAATTAAGATGAGGTGTCTAAGAATCGAAAGGTCGACCAAATCTAGAAGAAGGAGAAGTTTTTGAAATATTCGTTGAATATGTTAAATCGTGATGAATTCACAGTTGGTAAGTAAATATTTAGACATAGCCATAGTACAATAAATTGATTGACACTAATCCTTTAGTACTGATGTTAAATCCTTTAGTACAATATGTTAAATCCTTTAGACATAGCCATAGTACAATAAATATATTAGTCATTAATTTTCCAACTACTGATGAAGAACCTTCATTCATTCATTTACATTTATGGTGTGATCCAACTAATCTCATAAAAAAAAAATCAAACATGAAAACAAAGAAACAAACCCACAGTTCAGTATCGCTTGGTAAGTGTACAGCATTAAATGGGAACTAGAAAACCTTCAATGTAATGAAAAACTTGGAAGACAGTACGTAGCTAAACATATATCCTAACATTCATCATCATTGACAAACTTGAAAATACAAACTCTAAAATCATGGGACGATCAAAGCTACAAATCTTTTGGGTGGAATTAATAGAGTGCAATGTGAGGTGCCACAACCAAAAAAAGGTACACACATATAATCTTATAAGATAAATTATCCTACGGCCACTATTATGTCCTAAACATTTTAATATTCTAAACTGACAATGAAATGTAAAAAAATACCGAGACCGAGAAAAGAAAACATCCACAGTGAAAACAAAACACCCACTTTCATTGTTTACAGGGAACCAGGGGATGTTATGTTATAGTGATTATCGAGAACCACAATGATAAGAACCGTTCGTATCAGTCGTATGTTGGAAATCAAAATCACACCAACATGAAAACACAATCTCAAAAACTAACCATTTATATTTTAAGAGAAGGTCAGAAAATGATACTACCTCCGTTTCAGAATATATGTCATTCTTGACTTATTTTTTTGTCACAAATTAAGTGTCGTTTTAAAGTTTCGAGGCAAAATTTATTAGTTTTATATAATATTCTATTTTTCTATTGGTTGAAAAGTGGTTTGGTATATAGAAAATTGTGTTTTTATTTTGGAAATGTGTAAAATTAAATATTTTCTTATTCTGTGTGCAAAAAACTAGAATGACAAATAAAATGAAATGGAGAGAGTAAACACTATTATTTACCTCCCTTACCATCACAAAAGCTAACCATTTATATTTAAGAGACGGTTAACTAATTGAAAGCAGGTTACGCGTCAGTCCGACATAGACCTACACAAAGATCTTGTTCAAAAAAAAAAACCCAAAGATATTCAAGTCATAGATATATATATATACACATGCTTTATTTAGGTTACAACAAAGGAAAAAAAAACATAACATACTTAAGTGTAATGAATCAACATTTAAAAAAACAATTATTCAAGACTGGAATATAAAAAAACAGTAAACAATAAGTCAATTATTCAAGACTGGAATATAAAAAAAAAACAGTAAACAATAAGTCAGTAATTGTCACCTCTGTTGTACTCTGTATAATCCAAGAAAAAAAAACAATAAATTAATAAGTCATAGACAGCGCAGTGATGCAAGAATAGAAAAAAAACTCTAATTTGTGATTTGTTATTAAGAAACTAACATAGTTTAAACAAACACATATATAAGTTCCTCAAAACCCTTGCTAAAGCAACGCACAATCCATTCCTTCTTAATCAATAAAAATTAAAAAGAAAACACAACTGTTCAAACTATAATAATGGATGCAAAAGGAATTAACGAGAAGATGGTAATATTAATCATAGTGTTGGCTATGTTAATGACTGCGACTTGCTTAAACAGTGAAGAGATCTCTTTAAAGAAATCTGATGGAAAGAAAGAGTTAACGCGCAGCTCGCTCGATAAAGATTCATGCATCAAACATTGCATGACGAAGATATGTCTGCCTAGGTATCACAATTTTAAACGTTGCTTCCACACATGCCAGTTATCATGTTATAAACCTCTTGCACATTTCGTATACCGCAATATCGATTCTAGTGCTCATGATACTATTTCTCCTTATCCTTCCCCTTCCCCTTCTCCATCTCAATGAGGAAAATCTTGTTAATGTATATGATACATATTTGTAATCATGCATAATTTTATTTATTTATTCGACTTCATTATATGGCATTGTAAGACATGGTCTATACCGATGTTGAGATTTGGGGATGTATGGCTCAACTTATAATGAATAATATGACGTTTTCTTTCGGTATTCTACTATTTTACAACTGTCTATGAAAAGACTTGATTTCCAAAAAATCTTGAACTTTTGTTTTTGACTGACTCATTCAATTTTGTTGCTCAACATTTTCTTCCTGTCAAAATTAAAACGAAATTGGAGATTTTTTGTTTGTCAAATTAATATGTTGGCAAGCATATGCATAAAATATGTCACCATCTTTTGTTTGGAACACAAAACAGATCTCTATGTAAAGTTTTGGGTCATCATCAATCGTTAGAGACTCAGATGAGTTTCTTGAACTAATGTGTAATTACTATTACTTAAAGCACCGAACACTATAATTATAATTTATAACAAATGTATTAATAGTTCACCATCAACCATTAAAGGGTACCAAATGTCCCTAGAGTTTTCGAGTTTTGATGCAGTCTCTCTCTCACACGAGGACCGATAGTTCGTCTCTCTCTCAATTTTTCTACTTTTTTCTTTTTTTATTACTTTTTTCTTCATCAGATAGATACTCATTAAGGTTCTGCCTGTACATTCTCTGCTATAGCTACGAAATAGCCACACAAATTGTGGCAAATTTTAACAAGCCACGAAATGAAAAATGTGATATTTGTTCGTAAATCATGGCAAAAGGGTGCCATATAATAAAATCTTGTAAAAAATAACCACGATATTTGTCATGTTTTTCAGTGACTATTATAAAATAGCCATGAATTTATCTCAATTTTTTGTGGCTATTTGAAACCCTAAACCCTAAATATTCTTTTAACTCTAAATTCTTTACACAACCCCTAAAACTCTAATATTTTGATATTTTAACTTTATATCCTAAACACTAAATTTAAAACATCAACTACAAAAAATCTATTTTTCAAAGTTAATCACAAATTTTACCCTAAACCCTTTTCACAATTCTAAATTTTCAAATCTTAATTCCAAACATTAAAACCTACAAGCTATGAACCCTATTTAATTTTAAATATTAAACCTAAACTTTAAATCCTATAATCCAAACTCTAACACTTATATCATAAACATTAGATCTTAACTTTTACACTTTAATCATAATACAAACTATAAAAGAAAAGAAAAATGACAATCAACTTTACCAAACATATCAATTAAATAAAAACCACAATTTTAATTAAATAAACTAATATAACACAGAAAAAATAAAACATAAACAAAAATATTTCATTGGCTAATCCTTTTACCCAAGGATTCATTTTTGTCCATATCAATTCCTTCTTAATTTATATGTCTTAGCTCTCATTGGCTGAAAAACATTGGAAACACTTATCAATTTCTAATCTCAACTGTTGATGAAATCTAATCTAACATATAATAATATTTATTTATTTTTCTCTTTACAGAACTTTTCTCTCAATCTTTCGAATCTCTCACAGTCTTCTTCTTTATTGCTTTTTTCTCAATCTTTTTTCTCAATCTCCAATGGTCCCTCTCTTTGAAGGAGAACATAAAAAAAATAAAGGAAACCTCCAATAGTGTATAATTTTGAGAGAAAATGGTTT